TGATCTCACCCAGCGGTTTCATGTAGATATTAAAGAGGAGGGGGGACAGGACCGAACCCTGCGGCACCCCATACGTTTAGAGGAAGGAATAAATATGTTTCCCTCCTGTAACCATACTTTTTAGTGCTATTAGTATTTGAAGAAATTAAGAGCTTTTACACAATCATAGGAGAAAATTAATATCATCATATAATTTCTTCATTGCTTTTTATTTATGTATGTACACAAGTAACATGTTTTCCTTCACTTAAAATATATATTATTCTAGGGTGTAATTGCCACGGCAACTTTGCCAGAAAGTGGCTCTTCCCTTGCTTTACGGGCCCTTGGATGGGGTTCACTCTATGCCTGGAGTGGAGTTGCATTGATCAGCTTTGCTATCTGGAAGGCTTTGGGTGTTCACAATGTAAGTATCTCTCATTAATGTTGCATGCTTTGGTGCTTTAGAAATGCCATAAATTCAATAAGCATTTCTGTATGTATGGGGATGAGCCATTAGGATACACTTTCTGTCCAATATTACATTTCTTTAATTCTTCTCTGGTTCTCTGAAAAGTGGGAAGCAGCATAATGTGTCCACTTCTGTTATCTTGAGCAATACTTTTTTTCCACATTTTTCAAATGTTGGAGTAGTAGCAAAAAGCTGCAGCAAGACAAAGAGAGATTAAAAACAACCCACAGTATATTTCTTCTAGCTCCATTATCAATGATTATTAGTCAAGTTGCAGAGGGATATTTTTCCTTGAATAGACTTTGAAATTATCATTGATTGGTTTATCTACTTAAGTAATAATGTTGATTTTCTATAAGATCAACATTGTCTACATTACAGGGTATTGGTTTAAAGTTTCTTTAAACTATCAGGAAAGTAAGTAGGGAATTGTAGGACAGATAATTATTTTTTAAATCTAAAAAAACCACAGTGGCATGCTCTTCCTGTATTTTTTAATTCAAATAAATTTGTACATTTACTTTTTAAAAAGGGCACATCCAAATAAAATTTGACAGAATGATAGAATAATATCACCTAGAAATGCCCTTACTAAATGGGAATGTGAGAGAGTGTAAGTGAAATTATAAAATTGCAAAGGTGAAGTTGCTGCAAAAAATAGAGAAAAATCAGATAGGATTCATGAACAGAAAAAAGGATTATCCTCATATTCTGGGTATGTCATTTTTATGCACATATGGATTTTCCCCACTGTCAAATCATAGCCATAATTTGTGCACAACTCTGATTAAGGGTGAAGAGCCTGTGGTGCTTTAGATGTTGCTGAACTGCAAATCCCAGCATATCTTCACCAAAGATTAAAATGGATGGAGATTCTGGAAAGTGTGGTTGAAGAGCACCTGGAAGATTGCACTGCCTTTAACGCTGCACATGGCTATGTTATTAGTACAGTATGTGTTTTATTTGTCCTGTGAATCTAAAAAAATAGTAAGAGTGAGATGTTTGCATGCAAGGTTTTACACCTAACACATAGATTGTGGTAATTAGCTACAGATGCTGCTTTGGGAGTAAATGTTGTTTGCCCCAAATGGTTAGGGAAACTAACAGAGTCAATTGCACACAAGAAATATCATACAAAAGACATAGGCAGTGCTCCCTTAAGGAATTAAGAGCCAATTAACAGATTACATCATCATAGATTAGCTATTTAGAAGAATCTTGATATGAGAAAAAAATGTCAATAAAAAAAAAGTGTTGCCAAACTTACTTTTTTTAGTCAGGTCTGAAAAGAAAAAGAAGCATTTTCACAACCAAGAGCTTTAGGGAGGTTGGAAAGTCACTTTTTATTTCATAGATAGAATTTGGATCTGTTAAATTGATGTATTGTTCTCTGAGATAGTAAACATTATGGAAGTAATAATGCTCTGGGGAAGTGGTAAGCTTTGTTGCTCAGGGCCATCAGTATATTTCTAAAAAAAAAACAGCTGATCCTTTAGCTAGTCTGATGAAAACACAATTTGATTGTCTTGACATACAGTTTTCATTCTCCAAAGCCTTAGAAAAAGGTTCTAACTGCCTCAGAGGGATCTTCATTGCTGCTGGATTGAAATGTAAAAATTCACTGGAGCTGATCAGTATTTCTTCCAGCAGAAATTGGAGCTTGGTGCCCCACATTCTTTGTATCTGCAGTTCATGTTCTGTTTGTTCTTTGATTTGGAGAAAGATTGGAGGGTCACTGTATCAGGTGTATAAGAGCTGCTTGCTTTTCTGCTAAGTTGAAAAGATGATGTGGCATAGGTGAAGCTTTATTGGGACAAGGAGGAGAACATGGGAGGCAGGCTGATGAAGGAACTCTACCAGTAGAAACCTGGACTCTGCAGGATCAGAGGTGGGTTGCTCTTGTTTTGGCCGAACCGGTAGTGGTATTTTTACCTGGGTCACAGAACTGGCAGTGGCCCAGACTGGCCACGCCCCCAAACCAGTTCTTGGTCTCTTCTGCCATTGCCAGCATGTTTCCGCGCATGCACAGAACAATTTTTAGTCAACTGCGTTTGCGTAAGCAATGTGTGACCGGCGTGCATGCGCAGAGAACCGGTATCAACCGATTCAGGAACCCACCCTTGTGCAGGACTATGACATTCCAGTCCAAAATCACCTTCCCACGACTTTCAGTCATCTCAGATATCAAATGGGGAAGTAGGCTTGCAGAGATGTGATGCCATCCAAGAATGGTACAAAGGCTGCATGTGAAGATCACCTCAGCTTGGATTCACACAGTGCTTAAGGTTTTACTTTGTCTTTATTTAGCTTCTTGTGTGAACCCAGAAACTGTGGTTTAATCATGAATGACAAACATTTAGCATATATGAGTTAAGTCTTACCATCTAGTATGGATCTTCTCATGTAGGAAATAGAGAGAAAACAAGAAGCTCCAAGAACATTTATTTTTGAGTTGTAAACTATTCTAAAATGATCAAGGAAAATAACTTCAGCATAGAGCTCTCATACGCTTCTTCCCAGCTGAACCTGAAGAGGTGTCTTACAAGGAGCAATACTTTGTAAAATATATAAGAAAGGGTAATTTGGTGTTCTTTAAATTGACCATCTGTCGGGTGGAGGTAGGATTATGAAAAAAATAATTTGGATACAAGTAGACATTTAATAATCCTATTCAGTCACTACATTATGAGTCATGATGATTACAACAGCTGTTTAAACCAAAAGGTAATGAGAGAGAAAATTGGAATGGTCCCCAGCCCAACCTCTAAAGACATTAGTCATCAACATTGTTGGCACAAATGTTAGAATGGAAAGAATAACTCTAGGTGTTCCGATTGCCTCAGATAGCCTAGGACCTTCAGAGACAGAGCATAGTGACATCCATTATCATTAGGTAGCCTTTCATAAAATAAGTCTTGCTAGGAAAATTAAGACTTATTAAAATGAAAAATAAAAACAGAATGATGCAATAATTTATCTTGGATGGAGTTGAAGATGCCTTGGAAAATCCTTTGTAGCACTACAGCTACACCTGCTGGCAAGAGAGGAGATAGGACAACCTTCACAGATTTTTTTTTCCTTTTAGATTTAGATTTTGCTGCATTGTTTTTCTTTTACCATCTCATACAAGTTTATAAAATTGAAAAATTGTTGCATTTTCAATATTCAGAACCTTAATAAATCAGGGCATGTGCTAGATACAAAACTTTAAAAAGTGTGCACTTTACACTAAATTGTTTGGGGGGTAGATGCTGAAACAATGGGAAGTCACAGATCTATTTAACCAATTTTCTGTTTCAAATGAATGAAAACGTCCTAGAGAAAAGTTGCTATAGGTTAAAAATAAACCTGGACCAGGATTATGATGTAAACCTGTAAAACTATTTTAAACTATTTAGAACTATTATCTGTGCCAGATTGAGTTCACAGTCTGGACTGACCATGTTCTCAGTTTTGCTACCCAGTATTGTGATGTGAGCTGTGGACTGCTTTTCCTCATCTTTGCTTGTGCAGCTGTTTAATCCTTTTGAGATTAGATCTGGTCATAGCCATATCCATGTGAGTTGCTTTTTCATTGAACACAGTGCCTCCCTAGAAGATGTCTCAGACATCTTCTGATGACCTCCTTTTACCGGTCCACAATAGAAAGCGTCCTCACTCATTGCATTATGGTGTGGTATGCTGGCTTGGCAACTGTGGATAGAAAGACACTACAGAGGGTGATGAGCACAGCACAAAACATCATGGGCTGCCCTCTGATGCCACTAGATGAGATCACCAGGGCTCGCTTTCTTAGAAGAGTGAGGAAAATCCTCAGGGACGACTCACACCCTGCTCAGCACTTCTTTTTTCTCCTACCACCGGGTAGGAGATATAGAAGCATAGGCAGTTGCAGAAACAGGCTGAAGAACAGTTTTTATCCGTGGGCTGCCGGACTCCTGAATGAAAAATAACCCTACAACAACATAGCACGATTGACTTGCGGGGACGACGCAACATGCAATAAGTTCACATGGTGCAATAGGACTGGGTGTTTGTTTAGCAGGATTCACTGGGCAAGGGATTCTCTGTCTTTCACTATGAGTTGTACTATGTGGTGGTGGTGCACAAAGGGAGGCGCAGCCAATCTCATTGTACACATGTTGTACTCTGACAATAAAGGTTTGAATTTGAATCTTAGACAGTTAAGAATGCCATCTCTGTCCATTTCTTTTGGCAGGAAGAGGTTGAGATCATGCAATTCCTTTACACTGTATATGGACTAATTCAATTTACGACAAAATGTTGATTTTCCTTAGAGTTCTTAACTTCTGTGGTGTAAATCTGCCTATCTTTAATTATCTATTAATGAGAGGTAGACAATGGTATTGTTAGCTAAGGAACATCTGATTCAAAGTAGCTGAGAACTTTCTCGGTTCCACTTCTTGAAACATGGAATTCCCTCTTTGAGAAGTAAATCTGTATTCTTCTACCCTTCTTTTCTGGCATTTGAAAGCAATTCTTTTCTAAGAATGTTTTAATTTACTGGCTTTTAATTTATGATAATTCTTTCTGTCTCTCAGTTATATTTTTAGTCTTGGTCTACTGGGTTTATTTAATGATTAGGTTAGATGAAAATAATTTTTCTCTAATTTGGTATAGGTACTCCTTGACTTATGACTACAATTGAGCCCAAAATTTCCATTGCTAAGCAGGACAGTTGTTAAATGAGTTTTGCTCCATTTTACAACCTTTCTTGCCAGAGTTGGTAAATGAATAATTTCAGTTGTTAGTAACACACTTGTTAAATGAACCTGGCTTTTCCATTGACTTTGCTTGTCACAGGGTCCCAAAGGGAGATCGTACTAACCTGGAACACTGCAATGTCATAAATACATGCCAGTTGCCAAGTGCCCGGAGTTTGATCACATGACCATAGAGCTGCTGCAGTGGTTATAAGGTGAAAAATGGTCATA